TGGCAGCCGTGGTCATGCAGGAAGGGTTGGCTCACGTCTGCCTGGTCACCCCGAGCATGACGCTTACCCGTGCCAAGGTAGAGGTGAACATCCCCCGCAAGCGGAAAGGGAACTGCAGTCAACATGACCGGGCCCTGGAGAGATTTTACGAGCAGGTCGTGCAAGCCATCCAGCGGCATATCAACTTCGAGGTGGTGAAGTGTGTGTTGGTGGCTAGCCCAGGCTTCGTGCGGGAGCAGTTTTGTGACTACATGTTCCAGCAGGCGGTCAAGACTGACAACAAGCTTCTGCTGGAGAACAGGTCCAAGTTCCTACAGGTAAGGAGCTAAACTGTCTCCACAGTGGGTAAAAAGAGGTTTAAGAGTTGTGGGTGATAGAAGAAGATAATTAAAATGGTGATAGGAAATAACTTGCTTATTAGAGAAAATTAAAATTCTGGGTGAGCATCATATGGAAGTCATGCTCCTGCCTCTCAAACTATAAGGTGGTTTTGCAAGATACAAGGATGGCTCTTTCCTGGGATACCTTAATGTGTGGTTGAGAAAGTATTACGGTTTGTTAATTTTGTTGTTAGTTTTGTACTACATAGCCAGACGTTATGCAGACCATTGCATTTTTTTCGTGTTCCTTGTTTATCTCATCGCTAGAGTGGGTGGGTTTTTTTGCCTTTCACGGAAAGATGAAAACTCGGAGCCTGAAATAAGTTTTCCTGTTCATGGAGATGTTGGTATCATTTTTAAATTGCAGGAGGCCTATAATCGGTGGTTGGAACGGGCAGAGGTTGGGGAGCGCTGTGCAGGTTGTAAAGCATGGCCTAGTACTTAATGGTCACAGACTTCAGGAGACAAATTGCCCTAAGAAGCTGCCATTTGCATTTGTAGCAAAGTTATAATAGTGTGAAAAGTGTTAACATACTTCACAGCTTGCCAGCCTAGTAGCTATGAGGCTGTGCAAAACTTGATGTTTTAGCACTGTGTCTGCAGTCTGAAATGGGCTTCCTCTTATTGGAAGCTTTAAAAGGAAGAGGTTTAAGACTTAGTACTTTCAAGTGACTCTACCTTGGGGACTGTCTGCAACAGCTTGCATATTTAACCAAGTCTTTGAGTAAGAGAGGCAGCTGCCCTGCACTTCTTAAAATACAGTTTAAGGGATTTAATCTAGGCTTTGGGTTGCAGGAGAGATCTTTTTAGAAAACAATAATGTAGTTTTCAAGAAAGAAAGAACTTCCTTGAGTAATTATCAGTATAAGTATTATGTGTAGTGTAAGCTGTTTGTGATCTGCTGATCAAGAATATGGTCCTTCTGTTTTGAGCAGGAGAGGCAGCTGCCCTGCACTTCTTAAAATACAGTTTAAGGGATTTAATCTAGGCTTTGGGTTGCAGGAGAGATCTTTTTAGAAAACAATAATGTAGTTTTCAAGAAAGAAAGAACTTCCTTGAGTAATTATCAGTATAAGTATTATGTGTAGTGTAAGCTGTTTGTGATCTGCTGATCAAGAATATGGTCCTTCTGTTTTTTAAAGATCCAAACTTTTGCTTTTTTTTACTTTAGGTCCACTCTTCCTCGGGACATAAATACGCACTGAAGGAAGCCCTCTGTGACCCAGCTGTGAATAGCCGTCTCTCTGACACTAAAGCAGCTGGTGAGGTCAAAGCCTTAGATGACTTCTATAAAATGCTGCAGCATGAGCCTGACCGGGCTTTTTATGGTCTAAAACATGTGGAGAAGGCCAACGAAGCCATGGCCATCGATACCTTGCTGATCAGTGATGAGCTTTTCCGGCACCAGGACGTGGCAACACGTGCCCGATACGTTAAATTGGTAGATAGTGTGCGGGAGAACATGGGCACAGTACGCATTTTCTCCAGCCTTCATGTGTCTGGAGAGCAGCTTGGCCAGCTGACAGGGGTGGCAGCCATCCTGCGCTTTCCTGTTGCTGAGCTCTCTGACCAGGAAGATGAATCTAGCTCTGAAGAGGATTGATAACCATGACTTCATTACACAGTTTCTTTTCCAAGTCATGTTGAAATGACATTAAAGGGCTCCCTGTTTCTAAATACTTTGTGCAGTTGTGCCATGACATGTAATTTAAGTTTTTTATAGTATTTCTTACTGCATATGACTCTCTTCAGCACACTAATGGATATCTCTTCTATGGTAATGATTATTGGTATACTGTGCATTTGAGCTAACTGGTTTTGCAAGTTACACCCTGGACCTCTGGCAGTACAGGGAAATAATTTGACTCCCCAAAGCAGCTCATTCTTCATGTTAAGGCAGATTGTCAGCTTAATGGCTTTCGATGTGTATGATAAGATAATAAAATAAGAGGGAGAAAACTTATGTGAGACTGTCTGTTTCTGTTTAAATGCTTGAAAACAGGATTGCAAAACAAATATAAACTTCTTCATGCAAGTTGTATCAAAACTGTACTTGATCTTAGAACTCACCATTCCTCCTAAGTGTGGCAAAGGGGTGGGATCAACATCATGTTTAGGCTTTTTTTTTGGTGTTATGTGTCTAACCACTTAAATATTTCTGTGAAACATTTGAAGCAGTCTTTCAGAAACCAGAACCTTTAAATTAGCCATTTTCTCTCTAATGTGGTAGTAGATGCAAGATAAATTGTGAAGTTCAGTGTACCCATTTCAGTTATCTTTTCTGAATGCTGTTATCTTGGGAGATGGTTCTAAAGGCTCACAAGGTATGATGTATCTTGTCATTGAGAGCATTCTGATAAATTAGCGTTGGGAATTTATTTAGCATTAGGATATTTAGCACTCAGTTCTGACAAGGTATATGAAAAGGCTTACAAAAAAGTAGTTTCCACGAGGAATCTTTTGACAACAAATAGTTTAAGTTCATAGTCCAGTATTTGTCTACTTCTGTAGTTCTGTGATCTACTCAAAGTATTGAGAGGCACTGTGAGTTTTGTTTCTTCTTTGGACAATAAATCTTAGGCTGAAGATTCTAAGATTCAGATTCAGTTTAAGCAGATGTTTGATGGTATAGGCTGTATGTATAATAAGTCTTCCTTTTTTTAAATACAGTGGGACGGGGAAATGGGAGAGACTTGCCAAAAATAAGTTTCATTCAAGAAAACTGAAAGATTTCTGACATACGGAAAGAGACATAGCAATGGAAGATTATAAATAAAACACCAAAACTTCCAGTCTGGGTAGAATAATTTAAAAAAAAACACGTTTTTAATGGTACATTTCTGTGTTGATATGTACCCACTCTGTGAATTTGATATTACCTATTGCTAGCTGAAACATGAGCTGAAACTGCTTGATAGAGCAGTACTTTTGGGTTAAAAGCCATTTACGCTTTTCCCATCATCTACATAGTCTAAGGAGTTCATAAACAGAACTTATATTAGACTTGTATAACAGAACCACAGAATGTTAGGGGTTAGAAGGGACCTCAAAAGAACATCTAGTCCAACCCCCTCTATTAACACTTCTTGTCTCACTGAAGCAAGCACATTAAGACAGTGTTTGGAGACAGCTTGCACAGATTTTTTTTTAATTTTTTTTTTTTTGTAAGTGTTTTTGTAGTAAAATAAATATACGATCACTATGTGGACAAATGCATCCTGTTTCAGGAAACAGCTTAAAGTCTTGGTATTCAGAGTAGCCTGCATTCAGTAGTTGCAGATGCTTTACCTGGCAAAGTTCCAGGGTTACTAGTATCTTTTACATTTAAAGTAATTTTTAAAAGTTGAAAAGTGTATTGACAAAGATGCTTCTTGACACAGATGTTAATTTCTGTGTGTAGATAACAGTTAATGCAGAAGATGCATGTTATCTACATATCAAATGAGTAGTGCTAGAACATTGCAAAAATATTTTTCATGTATTTTCTTTGGAACTAAATATACAAGAACTAAGGACTGTCCACAATACGAATATTAATTACATTTGGTAGAAATAAAGCTTTAAAAAGTATCATGAAATCAGCTTGATCCTGAACCCTACTGTGTTCTTTAGCTTCAAAGATACAAATAAATTCATTAATGTAGGTTACAAAGACCTCTTGCAAACTCATACTTTAGTACAAGTTCCAGTTTATTATTTTTGTCACCTTTGACATTTAAATTCATGTATTAGCAATATTTTAGCGGTTGTTTACCAAATAAATTTTGGTGCGATACATGAGGTTATCACCAGGAAGAGACCAAAATAATGCTGCTGGTTATAAAACAAAAGATGATCTTTCAGTAAAACTGTAAAGCATTTAACAGTATTTGAGCAAGAGAATTCCTCATCTCCCTCCTTCCTGTCTTCAGCTTTGTACACTATGTGGGTAAAATGATGGTAATAAGTGATCTTTTGATTATTTCCTGACCACTAGTGTAACAATAGCCCATAGCTCTTCAGCTTTATTTGTGATGTGACTAGCATGATGTTTTTAAAGCCATAAGTGTCTGAAGTAAAAAATTAATGTGGGGAATGATACAGGTTTAGGAGTCATTCCCTTCTCAGTTCTTGTTAATTATCCACCTATGACTTGTTACAAAGTGAATGATAAAAGTTTTCATGCTGATAGGATTTCTCAGTTTTGGACTGATTTAGCAGATGGTTAGAACAGAGGAGAGATGTAGTGTTGCAGTAGCTTATTTTGCAGAATCTTTGTTTCTTCTGTAATGCCGCAACTTACTTTTAGGGACTGTTGTATTCAGATTTCACATAGGAAAGCAATATTTTGCAAACTAATTATTCTGCTCATTTAGAGTTAAGGAAATGCCTAACCATTTTGGGTCTTGTGATTGTTGTTATAATTCTTAATTCAAGGTCTGACATGGGTCAGGCCTGGGCTTTTTCAGCAGTGGAAAGCATAAACATAGGCTGTGGAGCTTCTTGTGTGACATTTGCCCAAATAATTGCTTAATAAGTATAATGTTTAGTCCTGCCACATTTTTTATGCCTGACTCAAGTAAAGCATCGACTTTGAATTGAGAAAACTGCTTGCAGATACAGAATATAAAGGAAATAAAAGTTTCCAATCTTAACAACAGAACTGTAGTGTATAATCTCTGTAAGCTTCTGAACTTGGATGTTTTAAAAATGCAGTATAGCTTTTCTGGAGGAAGCAATTGCCTCCTTAAGTGTCTTAGCAAAGAGTGTGAGTAAAAGGTCTCTGAAATCATGCTTGTTTATTTTGTTGTCTGAAAACAGTTTTTCCTTTTGTCCCACTTGAGGGCTGTACAAGAAACAGAGGTGGGGGTGTGAGTTGGGGGGGCTGATACTAGAGCAGCATATGCTTCCAAGTCTGTGTCTTCAGGGAAATGCAGCACAAAGCAGCAGCTTTTAAACCCTGCCAGCTCTTGTCACATTTTGCTATATCACTCTCTAATTTATTCTTCTCTTTTTGGGAAATACTGTGTTCACAACTAATGTCATTACTGCCACGCTGCTCTAATAATTACTTAGAAGTCAAATTAGAGCTGATCGTGAACCCTCTGACAAAATAGCTGTTCCATTAAAGAATATTAATTGGTTGAAACCAGTCCTCCTTTTTAGGAATGTACATACCAGACTTGAAGGGAAGTTTTTCTTTGGTCTGAAATGGAATTTCTAATCAAAGCCAAGCCTAGAATAGCAAAGAAAGGAGTCTAGGGGTTTAGGGAGTCACATAGGACAGAAGATAAGTTTTAAGACCCATTTGTGTTTAATTGTTAGCATTAGGCTAAAGATGCTCACTTTTCTGTCAGTGTCCGTGGAAAGTTCAGTACAACATTGTATAAGCAAATAAATATATTTTGCCTACATATACAGCTAACCACAACTGACTCAGGTATGCCATCTCTTAGGGTGTGGGAGACAATTTTCAGATTTCTGATCTGAATGGGACAGGAAAGCGATTGAAAACTGGGACTGTCCTACCTAACACACTCCAGCTGTAATCTTCATGTTCCAGAAAAAAGCTGAGTGAGGTTCTATGTTTCAAAAAGTTTTTGAATGTGGTGGCAGCCAAGCAAATCTACTGTTGAAGATAGGAAGAATTTCCCCGTGCAGCCTTAATACAAACCCTTAGACATTAGCTTTTCTATGAACTAATGTTTTTAGCAGATTTTTTACAGAAGGGACTTCAGAACAAAGATAGGAAACACAAAATGTATGTAAAGATATGTATGTATGTGTGTATAACGGTGAAATATCCTCAAAGAATGTGATATCGTTGAGTTGAAAAAAAAAAAAAAGCAAAAGCTAACTTGTCTCTTAGCTTGTAGTTGCTTTGGTAGCTGAAGGAGTGACTCAGGATGCAGGCTTGATATTTCTTTTCAGGCCTCAAGATTTGTTTCCAGTAGGAGGAGCTTGGTAGCAGGTGCTGCATTGAGGATGTCTTATGGTTGGTTGTTGAATGCTCGTGAATGTCTCCTTCAACAGTTTCTGAAACTGAAAGCTGCAGGAGGTTTTGCTGACGAGAATTGCCTTTGCTTTGACCTGCAGGGTTCAGCCTGGTGGCTTGAAGTGTTTCATACTGGTTTAGGTGTTTTAGTGTAGGTGTGAGAAATGAATTAATTTCATTTGTTTAATTTACTAGAATAGTTGCCATAAGACTACTTCCACTCCCTTTGGTAAAGAGATCTATTGTATCCCATATAATTTGTTTCTGTCCTGAGTGGAAATGGCTGTTCTGCGATAGGCTTGCTAAGAAAAGCTGAAATGGACTTTCTTCAGATACAATGCTGGGAAAGGAGCAGTTGCCTCATGAGGAAGATTTTTGAATTTCCATAGCCACAAGGAAACATGAAAAGCTATGTTTCAGTAGAAAACATGAGATACTCTGCTGGGCATGTGACTTGCTTCCCAAAGAGAGATGCAGCAGATGTTTGAAATGTCTGTACTCAGTGCTAGCAACTCAGCAGCAGCTGAGGGTAAGATGCAAGCTGATGTGATTAAACTTGAGTCTGAAGGCAAGGAATCTTGAGGCAGAGGTTGGACTTGAAATATTGAGACCTTGCTAATCCTGTCACTATGGAGTAACTAGTTTCTGACAAGCCTGCTACACACACTTAATGTGGCGTCATTGCTCTATCTGAAGCTTGTGATAGACTTTGTTTTCCTTTAATACATGCCTGAAAGCCACCTTTGTTTTCTGAAGCTGGATGTAGTGTTCCGTGAAACAAACCTCAATGTGTTGCATTAGCAATCACAGTGATAAGCAAAGGAAAATTTTCTAGTCAGAAATTTTAAAAAAACAAACCAACAACAGAAGTTGGATGAAATAAACCTTCTAGGGTTTTAGCAGGAAGAATCAGTAAGAGAAAGCTAGGGAAAAAAAAATGTTAAAAAGTTTCTTGAGTTTTTTTAAGTGTTTCAGTTTTTTTCAA